ATTTAATTCTTAATACTACTTGAAAAAAGACAAAACTCTCTTTCCAATTGAAACGAACATATTATTTCTTAAATCCCTCCCCTTTCTACTGTTCTGGTGCAGTTTCCAAACTGTTACATGTGCAATTTCAGAAAATTTGATTATTTGACAAACAGTTTTGGTGTTCCATATTGGAAAGAGAATTGACTTTCAAGACTTACAGCTATACCTCTCACTTTGATCACCGAAATAATGTGACAAGTACCTATGTTAATCATATCTTGAGGTGATTCGATGGACGCCATATTTTGTGTCAGAGAGGCACGTGATATATCGGATCAATTGGTTCCATTTTTTCAGCTACTCGTCATTTTTCTCCAATTTTGAGATCGCAATTCTGTTGTCAGGAGACTAAAGCACTCTTTAGCCTATTTTAACGAAGAAATTCAACGCAATAAAGGCGTGGTTTTTTCAGAGAAAAAACATCCCATTCGATACTGATATTGAAACTGCATTCGAATGCGATGTTTTCTCTCTGAAAACATCCCATTCGATATTGATATTGAAACTGCATTCGAATGCAATGTTTTCTCTCTGAAAAAACCACGCCTTTATTGCGTTGAATTTCTTTGTTAAAATTGGTAAGTGAGTGCTTTAGTCTCCTGACAACAGAATTGCGATCTCAAAATTGGAGAAAATTGATAAGTAGCTGAAAAAATGGAACCAATTGATGCGATATATCGCATGCTGTTCTGACACAAAATATGGCGTCCATCGAATCACCTTAACAAGGACTTACCTTAAGCAATAAGTCTGAAGAACGAAGTTGAGCCTAGATTTTGAACTCATGTATTCTGTATTTCTCTCTCATTGTAACTCGAGCCCTTTTTGAGAGTGAAGAGTCAAACTTTTGTCTATCACTTGTTAACTATCCTGTAATTTCACAAGAGGAAATTTCCCCCCTAATTTCATCCAAGTTTATGATTTGAAATTGTTTGTTTACTCTCCTGAGAAATCAGAAAAATGGTCTCTAAAAGGCTGTTCAAAGCAATTCAAATTTTTCTCTCAATTTTCCACCTTTTAATCATCATTTTATTCATGTAAATCTGCGACTTGGCATTGTTTTCAAAGTATCTTACTCATGTTGTTAATAATATCCCTAGCTTAGTTATGAACATCAGTACAACCAGTGTTTTGGCTACTGCAGAATTCTCAGACACAGTTTTAAAAACTCATAGAGCTTTCGTTACCTGCAAGCGATTGTTTATGCTTTAAATTCTTATTTTTGTACCCGTTTCCTCCATGAAATACATTTTGTTTTGGTTCAGATCATTCAATTTTTTTTCTCTTCCCATACCACATTCGAGAGGGAAGCCAGAAACATCATCCAAGTGGATGCATTTACACAAAACGAGTTTATCTTTCAGGAGAAATTCTTAGAAGAAAATATCTGTCACAGGGATGGATGGGACTGCAGAATCAGAAATAAAATGATCTGGGTTAAATTTGGTGCTCAAGCTTAGCCGTACCTAAGAAGATGACTAAATGATAAAAAGATGTGACTTTTTCTGCAGCAGTTAGCAGGTTTTATCTTAAGTTTTAATGATCAATGCTGATAGAGTTGCTCCGGGATGTTTTGATCAATTCCTTTTTTTCAGCCTCTCCCTTGCACTTCGGTCACAATTTTTGTATACATAAATTACGTATATAACCAGTCCTGACCTATGAACACCTGCTGTACTTGTCCTTTTTTTCACTCCCAATGCAGATACCTACGTATATGTTCTTTGCATCAAAGAAGCATCCAACTCAAATCTGTCTCAGAGGTACAAAGATAGTAATTAACTCTCCTCAAATCTTGGTTCTCATGCCATGAAACTTTGTACTGATAACTGCTGGCTCTAATTTCTTCGGAATGCGGGCAAATGCTGGAGGTTGCCAAGAGTCTATCCATTATTTAAAGTGATGAGATCTAGACCAGTCGAATCAGCTGAAATTTAAAAATTAATACGTCAATTAGGTGGTCACGAGCTAATCCAAATGATTTCAACTTCCCATCAAATTGGCGCCGCCAATCGGAAAGTTGAATGGAAAGTAGGTGAATCGAATTTTTTTGCGTTCAACTTTCCATTCAACTTTTCGTTCAATTATGTTGGACGAAAAGTTTGATAGTGTGAATTCGGCTTAGTTATGGAAGAAATGGTGAGTGCATGACAAATTAAGATAAAACATTTCAACCAGCAATTTCCATGGAGAAGAGGCAAAATAAAGAAAGAAGAAAAAAACTCCATAAATTAGAAATAAAGGAAAAGTTTATTGTAATCAAGGCGCTCAGAATAGAAAATTACAAAAATTCTCATAGAAAGTAAGAACATACAACAATAGCACAATAGATCAGTATACAACTGATCACAATTCGTCGCTCCTCTGCCGTAAGGGCATACCTTATTTCCCATGTGTACCCTGTTCTCCGTAAAACTCAATGTGTATTCTGGGGCTCATGTGAAAGTAGAGATACGTTCTTACACCAGAGGAGCGATGAATTAAGGCTATCTGAGGCACTAACATGCAACTCAGGAGTTAAGGAAAACATTTTGATGAGTTTATGTTGTTGGTTTCCATTGAAAAGAAAAAAAAAAAAAAAATCGAACGCACTTTCAAAATTAGGTAAAAAAAAAAATTGTGATCAATTATATATCAAAAGGAGAAAGTCAAAAAATTTAAAGACTTCTTGCATGTGAAAAATTTGAAAGAAATGTAACATTTTACAACCAAAGCTATTTTTACATTTCTTTTGACTTGAGATGATACACAGGTGTAACTCCAACACTCCTCAAAAGTGAATTTGCTAACTAGTACTTGCTGTATAGATCAAATTAATAATGGAAGGTGGATTTTTTTCAACTGTACGGTAATTTTAAAACAAACAATTTATTAGAGCACTAGTTAATATACTGACTCAACCCCTGAGAAACGAAAGTAGTTATGTTTTTTCATTTTTCAGAGAAGCAGTACTTTCCACGAAAAAACAAAATTTGAAAAATCAAAGTGGGTTGCGCAAAATAGAAAAAAATGAAATGCCATTGATAAAATTTTAAGGTGACTTAATTACTCATAATTGAGAGGGGGAAAAAAGAGAGAATAAAAAGAGAAAAAAAACTAAAGTTGCAGTACTTAAAATACCTAGCTCTTAGCTGGTGGTGAGATTACTTTCCTGAGACTTCAATCTAGATACATATTTATTTGATTTCCTCTCTTAAATTAAATATATTACCAATATATATTAGCCAATTACTTGACTTTTTACTTATATTTTACCATGGAATAAAATTAAAATACTTAAAGAGTAACTTGGGGGGAAAATGCAACTGACCATTCTTCTTATGATGTGATGATAACAAATTTGATATAAAAGATCGAGAACTATGAAAATAAATGAATGGTTTTTTAGAAAAACAAACGAACGAACATAAAAAACGAATAATGAGTCAAAAAGATAGGGAGGAAAAACATCCTATAACATTAATGAGAACAATTCATAAAAAAATAAAGATGATTAAAAGTCAAAACAAAATATATGATGACACAGAGCGACACATTATAATGCACCAATCACTTAACTTACATTCTCTGATTTTGATTTTAAGGAGCCCTTCCTAAACCAATGAAAATTGCATAGGACTTCTTAGGAAATTAAAAATTAAAAATTAAAAGATGCTTTCTCAAGTATCATTTCTACTCTTGGAGTTATTTGAATCTGTGAGAACGAAAACACACCAACTCAGAAAAATGAAAATAATTATGACACACACAAAACTGCACAGAAGGTGAAGAAGTTACTTTCAGAAAAAGATTTTTGCTGCCAAAAGACAAGTAGTTATGGCCGCTTTAAAGGTCCAAGTTGGAACGGACACGCTAACTTCAATGACCTTTATGTACATTAACTGTCTTTAATGGAAATTGAGTATTTTTGAGTTATCGAGTTGGTGTGTTTTCGTTCTCACTGATTCATTTATGGGTTGTCCCAATTGCTGTGCAAAGCATGAATAGTCAGAGTCCAAAGCAAAAAAAATTGACATCACTCGTAAATGTGATTTCAAATTTCAGAGATTTTTTTTTTTTTCAGACTAAACATGGTTAAAAATATGCCGGAATATTTAACGAATTTTCCTCAAGGGAAAATCAGAGAAACGTGAATGGTCTTACGATAGGTGTGGAGAAGGAGAATGAAATCTCAACTGGAATTTCAAAGAATTACAATAAATGTTATACTCTTATTCCACAAGGTGCCTGGTTTTAAGAGTTGACTCAACTTAAAGAGCACAGTATACTAGTTGTAGTTGAAATCATTTGACAGCAGCTAATATTTTAAGTAACAATAACACCACATAAAAAAAGTCAACTTCAAAACTTTACAAATTTTTGTCTGATGAAACAAGACATTAACTGATACTGGGTACTTAAAAAAATATATATGACTTAAAAAGAGATAAAAATGTTAAAAAAAGAAAGAAAAGAAGGAAAAGTTAAAGGCAAAGGTAAGAGAATTGTATTTAAAAAAATCAGGATTTTATGGACATATTTTGAGAAAATTGTAATTGAGTATCATTTGCTCAAGGGAGATAGGTATTCAAAGGTTCATGAGTGAAAGGTAGACGGATAATTATATTTGATTTTTGATGCTTTACGTGTCTGTTTTGTTATGTACACTGGTATTGTCCTTTTCAATCATTCTATAATGTTCTTTGTTCTTATTAGATCAATGAACTAATCAACAGGTTGCAAGCCTCAATTCTATTGAGCCCAGGTGTTAGGTTGATTTAATTTCCACAAGGGTTGATTCAATTGGAAGAGCACGACGTATTAGCAGCAGTTAAGTTATGTGAAGCTAATATTTTAAATACAAAAACACCACATAGAAAAAGTCAAATTCAAAACTTTACAAATTATCGTCTGATGAAACAGACATTGACTTAGAACTAACACAATGCTTGATTAAAATATAAAAGACTTAACTAGCACAATACTTGATTCAAATATAAAATACTTAAAAAGAGATAAAAATTTGAAGGCAAAAGTAAGAAAAATTGTCAGAAAAATTAAGATAAGATCACTAAAGAGACAAAACTTTTGTCTCTGATCATGATTTACTCAAGAAAATTTTTGCTCATAGGTCCATGAGTGAAAGGTCAACAAATAATAGCAGAATTTAATTTTTGGTCGGGTACGGATCTGTTATGCCATGGTATGGAAATGCAGGCATCAAATCTTTTGCGATGTACAATGTATATTCTGTGTATATTGTATCAGTGAATCGAAAACAGGGAAGATTATAGGGTTGAAAACCTGTTGAACTATTGTATTGAGCCCTAGGCGTTGCTTTGAGCTGATTCTCGTTTTGAATCCAAGTTCCAGTTTGTGTCAATAGCTCGACCCAACTTGAGATTTCACGAACTCCAACAGGCTAACTTAACTGAGAACGCTTCGGTTCATATTCCGGATTGAGGACTGATTCCAGCGCTGAGCCCGAGTACTCTTTTAGTCTACCTCGTGTTTCAATCCACTGTTTCAAAATCTTATGACTTTCCTTTAGGGATTTTCTGGGGGATATGATAAGGTTTGAAAAAATTCGACACAATTTATCCCACTTGGTTAAGAGCAATGATTGGCATTTTTGCGATAAAAATTTATCTAGGTTAGCTTGACATAATATGTCCAACAATTTTTTAGTCATAACACCAGAATAGTCTAAATAACTTTCCTCAACTAAGATTCCAAACAGTTTTTCAGAGCAGTCCTCGGAAATATATGAGCAAGTAAAATACAATGGATAAATGCGCCCGAGGCGCTTTGCTATGCGGTGTACTTCTTTTGTTGAAATGTACTGACATTCACCTGAAAATAATTTAACGACTGTCAATAATTTACACACTTCTTTAGACGCAGATTTACCCAGCGGTAACTGTGTAGGGCCATTTATATCTTTTATATGTATCAAAAGATTATGATCAAGCTCATTATAACAGCTTGATTTAATCCGTGAGGCTTCTCGACCAGATAGTAAAACAACAATGCTTTTACCATTGAAATTATGAATTAGTATGACGTCAACTAAACGCAAGTAATTGTCCAGAGCTTGATTCTGTGAGCATTCAACACTTAAAATATAATTTGTTGTCATGAAAATATTCTCATGCCAAGTGATGTTCTCCAGAAGCTCAGGCACCTCAATGAAATCTGTAATCTCTTGAAGGGGCATGATTATGTCTTTTTGTTCCGCAATTGTTATGAAATCATCTTGTAAAATTAACCGAGCATCCCACGGGATCTCAGAACGTACTTTTTGCTTTCCTATTTTAATTACGACTTCTTGTTCTTGAATAATTTCTTCTTCAGCTTCTATTTCATTCTCATCATTGGTATCAAGTGAATGATGTACATAGCCTGACCGAAGGTAAGGCTGTAGCTCTTTCATTACATTATTCAGAAGACATTCGAAATTATCTTTGTGTTCCAAAAATTTCTCATAAGATATACTTTCTGCTGGCCATTGTATCCTTTCAAAATCTTTCCAAAATGTCTTTAAACGGGCACTAACAACTTTGCTCAGCCGCTCATTCAAATCTTCATACTGTGAAGATAATCCGTAAAAATCTTCAAGCTCAAACAGTTCTATCTCCTGAAAATGTTGTTTCAAGGAATCCACGTGTTGGGACAAAACTTTCCACCAATTCTCCGCATTTTTTAGAAATTGAAAATTAATTTTTCTGACTGCTACAGAGAACAAATCTGAGTGTATGTGATCAAGAGTGTTTTGAGTTACCCACTTTATAACCTCAAGACTATCGATTTCGTCTGCACTGGATAAATTATTATCTCGAGTAATGGCAATCGTTACAGCGAGCGTGCCCCAAAGCGATACGGATTGCTTCTGTGCTAACTGTCTTAACCGCATAGCTGCCTGCATTAAACTATCTTTCGACATTCCTATGCCAATTGTTAAAATGGCATGAGAGTTCAGAGGAAGCTTAATATCGGTCCCACGGGTATGGATATCGTCCAGATAAGCAAATAAATGTTTCTTATCAAGGTAACAATCCTGGAAGGCAACTGTCTTCTCATCCCTCTGCAAGACGGTTAATCTATTGCTTTTATCACTAAAGTATAGGATTCCTTGCAAATGGGATGGTAAGTTTTTTAGTAAGAACTTAGCAACATTGTAATTACTTAATCCGGTAACTAGCGCTCCAGAGTCGATCAACGCATGACATTGTTGGTGGTTGGATGCATACTCGCATAGCTGTCCTAATAAATTTTCAGTGTCTTTTGCCTCTATTGAGTGATAATTTTTGTTCCGTTCTTGTGTAAGAACAGACAATAATTTGCCATTAGTGCCTTTCTGGGTACTTGAGCACAAAGATTTTATTTCAAAAGGCATGGTTATTTTCCGATCATCTGTTCCTGAAAAACCCAGTGCTGCATTGTATCCTACCAATGAATGGGCATTTGCGCTGATTTTTTTGAGGTATTGCATAGCTTCTTCAAGGAAAACAAATTCATCAAGATAGAAAAATATTGCCATAGAATTTCCTGATAAAAATTTATGAACTTGCTCCAGGCACTGTTTATTTTCCAGATAAACATACTGAAGTGAAGTGAGTAACAAGGGTGGAAACTCATCTGTTTGGGTTTCAATCCAAGCGCGACCAGCGTCTGACCAAGACTGAAGATGTGCATCTGCCACCGGGAGGCTGAATTTACTGCGTAATTTGTTCAGTGTTTCCTGCATCTGGGCTGGATTGAGACCTTCATATAAATAGCTAATAATAGTGAACCCAAGCATTACATCTGGATGACTGAATTCCGATCGCAGTGATGGAGTATCTTTACCGAGGAAAGGGATTGCAATTATCTTGGGTAGATTTAGTCCATATCGGACTCGGTATTTAGCATTGAAAACATGGAATAGAATGCCGTGAGAAAGCCACCCTTTGGCAATTAACAGCTTTTCTTTCAATGAGTGTTTGTCCGCTAAGAAATCAATCACCTTTTTCTCTATGTTCATCTGGAGCTGGCCATTGATATACTCTTTTAATGAGCTATTTTCGCCTTCGACTAAAGGCTTATCAGGGCAGCAATAATATTTTCTGAAGGTTGATAGGTTTTCTTGCAAGAATTTATCAATGAGCAATGGTTTAATTTGATCATTGTAGTAAGTTTTATCAAGGAGTTGTATGAAGGGAACGCCGCCGCGCAAACTGAATTGCAAATTTATTTCTGTGAAACCATCTGCTTTTCCAGCATCAATTACATCTCTTATGTCTGAATCACAGAAAATACTTTTGATAAAAAATTGTGGTATTTTCCAACGGAATTCGCCACCTGCAAACATGTGCTTGTCACCCATGGTGTAATTTAATTCGGTGCCGTGCTTTAAAATTTCATCTGATTCATCTAGTAAATCGATGACTGCTAATTCATTAATCTTATAGAGCAATGAGAGCTTTTCACGGCAGTCTTCAAACGCAATGGTAGAATTGTATAACAGTTCACGATGTGCCGCTTTCAAACAGCTCCACTCTCTGAATTTAGAATCATTGATTATGTCTTTGAATTGAGCGAAATGTTTACGCCCTTGTCCACGAGGAGGTACTTTAAGAATGCTATCATTTGCATTGATGTACCCTGCATTTTGTAGACATGATCTCAGCCGCTGATCTTGCGCTCTTAGAAGCTCTTCCGTTTCGGAATCAGATAATCCATTATATACTTCCATCTTGCCATGCACTCTTTGTCGATAGGTTTTCCAGTTGAAAATATTTGTTGCATGTATTTGCTGCTGATTTTCAAGCACCAACTCTCTAATTTTCAATTGCATACTCAAACGATGTTCGGGGGTGACGAGGAGAATGTGTCTGAAATTTCTACACGTTTCGAGAGATGTTAGTATGGCTTCAAGATGCTTGATTGAAATATCCGTATCACGTGTGAAAGGTAGTGTAGAAACATGTTTGTGAATTAATCCTGAGAAACTTCGGCGCAAAAACTCTTTCATAGTTGTCGATAGTGCAGACAGAACATTTATACGCAATAGTTGTTTACCATCAGCAAGACTGTAACTCAAAAGTGGTACTATAACTGAGGACTTTCCTTCTCCCATATTGAGTTGATACATTGCTTTTTCAGATTGATTTAACATAGCGATGATAAGCTCGCGCTGTTTATCTCTTACAATGATCTCATTTTCAAACTGGAATAACAGCCAATTAGGATGACTGTATGATTCTGGATCTATGTTTTCTTGCAAAAAACTCACCAAACTCTGTAATATGGAAAACTTTTCAGATTTCTCTGTAATTTGTTTGTATTCTTCAATTAAAGCAAGCACTCTAACTATCTTGGATGAATTAATTTCAAGATATGTGTACAGCACTATTTCTTGGGTGATATCAGAGATGCAGCAGTCCGGGTTAAAGCTTGGTAACTTATGTGGCTCAATTAATAATCTTAAAACATCGCACTTGTTAAAATGGCGCAATTGACCACTGTACCAACGCAGAGCGAAATAGTTATTCTGTTCATTACTTGATAGGTGAGTTAACTGACCTTCAATTTTATTCCAAACCTGCTCAGCTCGATTGCGAATATCATCAAAATTTTTTCTTAGCAAGGTTTCCAATTTTATTGCTGACTGAGAATTTTGCCAAGAATAGGTAAACGTCTTTTCATTCAAGTAGGCAGACCAACTGTTCTTCAGCTCCTTGAAAAACTGCTCCTCGTATCCTTTTTCTGAATCTCCCAATTGTGACTCAAGTGGAAAGGTATTGTTTCCCGCTGGTTGTGAACTCTTCCTGAAAAAAGTCATCCAGTTAATGGAAAATTCTTCAGGAGTTACCACTTGTATCGAGCTCACTACTGATTCTGGAAAGGGTGTACGTACTTTCACCCATGGTGAAGCTACCTCAATTGTGTTGTATATAAAAGGGGCAACCGTCTTACCCATTGAAGATCGATATTTGAGTCTATCGCATTGTTGAAAAACAGAAACAAAAAATTGAAATGATGCGTCATTATATGCAGCTTTTAAATATTCCCTTCTGATGAAGTCTCGCTTTCCAGAGTTAATAAAAGACATGTAATTTTCATATTTAAGAGTGCAATTCTCTGGGTTGTCTGGTAGAGAATTAGGCACTCCAGTCTCGTCCAGATGATGCACACTTAAGAGAGCCCAAATTTTTTGAGTTTCTTTTACCTCTGCATCGCTTTGCCAGGAGTATGTGGGAAAAGCCCGATCAAATGACCGTCTATCTAATGTTCTATTGGTTAAGTCAAGAGGTACCCCGTCTTTAAACCAACTTGGGGCTTCGGGAAAAGACGCTCGATGTTCAGCCACCAGAAGAAGTGCGCGGGCTAACATGTTTGCCAACTGTGCAGGAAAATATTGCGACTTGATTTCAGCCCTGATCATCAGATGATGCAGGAGATATTGAAACTTTGATGGGGTAACAGAATATGATGATCTGGCAATTTTATACAAAACAATGAACTGTACAAATCTAAATCGTTCAGTTAGGATCAAATTGAAACCAGCAGTAAAATTTATTTGATTCATATTATATCCGTATTTCTCAAAATGAGATGAACGGTACTGTTCAAAAATACGCATGAAAGCAGTATTAAGTAACTCTTCTTTTGCGAAGAATTTCTTGTAGTGATTATTGTACGAAAATTTACAGGCCTTGGAGGACTCTGATGCGGAACAATGCTTCATAGCAGCTTCCTTTTCTTCGTGCGTAAGTTTTATGCGTGTAAAAATGTTTGATTCATTCTTTAAATAACTCTGAAGAATGTGTGGGGCTTGACCTGCACAGTATTTCAGGAGTGCTTCACTCCTTATCTTATTTTGCTGAGTAATCTCATCCATGAATAGGAACGCACGTTGTAGGCTTTCACTCAATAATGATACAACTTTTAAGTAGATTGCTGCTAAGTGGCTGTGATGACATCGCATTCCTGAGACTTTGAGCAGTTCCTCAATGACATTTAACTCTATCTCATTATAAGGTTCATCCTTCCAGCACAGTTCCAAGTTTTCTCGGGCTAAATGGTATGCATTACAGTGGGAAAACATATCTTCATCAAATGATGCTGAACGAAAATAGAGCAAAGCTAAGTAAAAGTAATCCTGGATATTATGGCCTCTCAATAACCCAATCTTCAGATCATAATCGTAAACGTAGTAAGTAGGAGATTGAATTTCTTGGCAATTGACACTCATTGTTTTTAGATAAAAGGCTCCAACTGATGCTACTTTTCGATTGGGAATTACAACTTTCACTCGCTTTTCCACCGTATCTTTCTTTTCTAAGACTATGTAACTTGAAAAACCGTCTAGGGTATGAATGTGCTGATGTTCAGAGAGAACATAGCCATGCACTTGCTGGGAGAAAAATTGGCCTTTCTTGAGAACAAAATTTAAACCTAGACGAGGAAAATTCAAGGATTTTATAAGAATTCCAGAGTTATTAGATTTTGGTGCACCAATAAGCTCTATCCAGGTAGGTAACTCTATTTTTTCCAGCCATGTCTTGAAAGATGAATCTTCAATCTCTTTCCAGGGTGCAACAAAGCCTTTGTGTTGTGAGGACCACAAGCAATCTTTATTCAAATCCCACTCGAACACAATCTGTCTCTGTGCATCCTTAATGAGAACTCTCTCTTTATTATGTAACAGCCAGTGCTGCAATTTTTCTTGGTTGTGGAACTTTATAAAATGGGGATAATCACTACACTGACCTAAGAGTTCTTGTATAGGAAGGTAAAGCTCAAAGTCAGAGCCAACTCGTTCCTCCATTAACAAAGCACTGCCAATCAAAGTAAATCTCAATTGAAGTTCCCGGTCGATTGATATGAAACATGGAACTTGCTGAGTATTTATGTCTCTAGATGAGGGTATTACAGGGAAATTAACGTCACCTAAACAGTCTGTAAAGATTTCATGTCCGGTGATTGTTTTCGGCAATCCCACTATTGGCTGGTTTTCAAAGTAAATGCATCCCAACATGGGTTTCACAGTGTAATTGTTGCAAGTAAATAGTAAACCAGACGGGTTTCTCACCCAGGTACGTGTTTGATCCCACTCTGGAACAACGCTCAACATTAGACCGTTGAGTATGGCTGGGTTCTTCTGCAATTGACATTCAACTGTGGTACACCAGTTATAACTAGCAACACGTACTCTCAATAACCAACAATTATTTAATTTTGCCTCCTTTACTTTAAAATTCTCGATAGCCACAAGGGCTTTTAATATTGTTAGCAAGTCAGTTTCTAGCAATTGCTGCCCTAACACTTGAGCTGCGATGAGCAAATATGCATTCAGGTGGAGCAATATATCATTACTAACATAGTCTGGAGGCTTGGCTAAAATCTCTTTCAGCATGTGGTAGATACTCATCATGCCCTCAATGAAGGAATCTTTATAAACTGCTGGGTAAAAGGTTGACAGCCCAAGAGTTACTAGTAGTAAGTCACCAATAGCACTATGTTGGGTCAAGCAATGTTGCATTGCACAAACTTTCTCAATGCACAATAAACCAAATGCATGAATTAATTCCGCGTTATGATGGGCAGTCCAGCCCAATATACTGCAAATTTTGTCCTCATTTTCCATGACTAGGCTGACTTCAAAAAGTGTTTGCATAATTAAAACACTTTCTTTCTCCTGACTACAGTCAAGCTGTTTTTCTTTCAGTGCAATATACAAACGTTCAAGTTTTAGCCAAGGTTCACTTTGCAAAAATCCCAGCTCCATGTAACGGTTGCTACCCATAGTTTCTGGTTTTTGATCTTGGCTCGCGATGATTTCGTTTTCGAGGAAGTGAATGTCAGCGGTCTCTCTTTCTGTGCGGGCAATAAATCTTTGATAGAGAGGGTCAGACTTTAACAAAAAGCTAGTTAATACATTTTGAGAGGGCTTACTGTCAGCAGTACTCTTGTTAATTTGAAAATGTACTTCTGTGACGTTCTTTTTATGAGAAACTGACCAATCAGCTCTAAGGATATATGAGAGCTGGCAGAATGGAAAACCATTGAGGGACACTTTGGCCAAATATGCCATCTTAGATAATGTACAGTATAGTGATGGTAGGTATGCGCTAGTGTAAGTGAGAGTTGACCACTTTTGATTGAGTAATTCAGTTTCACAATGATGAACCTCATCCGTGAATTGTTCGTTTTTACTGGGGTAATTTTGTACCAAAAGACGAGCAAACCCAATGTCAGTACTAGTTTTGTGACCGTCAGGACTAACCTGAAACGAAAATTGAGTGGAAGTAAAGAGTGTTTGTCTCGCCTTAGTTGGCTTGAAAAAAGATTTGACGCTTGATAGGAGATCCATCCAACGAGAATCATCCATCACAAGGTGAGGGATAATCTTATCTAGTGTATTGATACTGAGAGTATAATTTTTCAGCAATGGTCCAATAATTGAATCACGCAAGTTTAAGGCAGCGATAGCAGCGTAAATAAAAAACTGAATAGTCACGTTTTTTGCATAAAACTGGGGCTGATAGGTTGTGTCAGATAAAAAATGATTTACCAGCCTACTTTGACAACCATAGTAAATTTCCGCCATATTTTTAAGCGTTTCTGCCAGTTCCGTATCATTCTTTGAAAGTGGTAAATCAGCTGATCGGTCTAGAATATCCGTTTGTGCCAGAGACTCGATGAAGTAATTCTCAATACCGTAGCTGAGTAATGATATTCCGTTGAGGTCAGTGGTATATCTTAATTTAAGAATGAAGTTGTGGTAGAATTTTTTAAGGTAATCGAAAACATCATCGTCGACGCTTGGTTTTACATAGATTGGATAAACTTGCAAATTAGGCCGTGCAACATCACTAGCAGAGGGACTGTGATCGATCAAGTTGGGCGGAGGAAAACGGAGTGATAATACATGAGGTATGCTGATTAGAGATTGGTGGTGATTAGTCTGATCCTGTAAGCTGCAACGATTTTTGATGGCTGCTTTCACCTTTTTTATGAGCTGAAAGGAATGTGCTTTCTGTTCCTCATTTCCGTGATCGAACGCCTGTTGGGCTAAGTCACGGCACATTTCTTGGAGAAGAAACTGGCATTGTTCTGGTTGCTTACTACACCGACTATCATAAGCAGTCAACGTTTTTTCCATTAAAAATAATTTGAAATTTGTAATTAACTGACCATAGACCACCTGAAATGCTGAGTCACCTAAGAGGTTCCGTAACATACAGCGAAATGACTTGTCGATCACTTGCCAGGTGTGAACAGGCGATTCGTTAGAAAGCCAGACAAATCCTTCATCAGGCTGTGATGACTGAAAAGTGGTTTTACCATTAAGATGAGACAGTAAACATTCATACAAGGATACTTCCTTGTAATAATAAGATTTCTCACGAACAGCTTTCAAACCTACAAGCAAGTACAACCAATCTTCAGTTATATTGGCAGGATCAATTTCTGTAATTTCCAAATAGGAATTGCACTTTTCACCTGCTTCATAACTACAGTGTTGATGGTAAGTACTGCCTGGATTTACTTGAGTCCAGTTGATTCGACCCCCCTGTTTGTTCAAAACGCCAAGACAGACATTTTCAGGATGGCTAGGCCCTGTGTGCAGAGCTGAGACTAGACCATTGGGGATTACTGTGACGTTTTTAAAAGTTTCAACCCGTTTCAAGAGCCGCTGCGCCAATCGTCTAACTTGTAAATCATTCCCCTGACCTTCTCTTATTTTGTAGATGCAGTTTAAATCTTCAGACCATAGTGATAACAATTCGAGAATATTACATAAATGATTGTGTGTCGGTGTATCGTACTGCTGTCCCATAGAAGAGTTTGTCAATTCATGGTGCAGATAAGAAGATAGTAAATGAAGCAATACCTTTTCTCGGCGATCCGGCGTATTCTTAGGAGCATTATAGTGGTACAAAAAAGACCCGCCAAAAACGAGCCAGATCGCAGGTAGAAAGCTGTCGAAATTCTCCATACTTGTCATTTAAATTGAGAAAGAGATTTTGCAGTTCCAGTCTTTACAGAGAGTCTCCATCTTCTACAAAAGGAAAAGAGAGCAAAGAAAATTCGTCTACTGATGAATCTTTTTTTTCATATTCGAGTCTTTTTAAGTCAACCTATGCTAACATTCCCTCCATTTCTTTCTTGTCAGGTATTCATTGGCACCCCAAAAACAACGGCAGTAAAAATTTTTGCGGATTTGCCATAAAAGAATCCTTGTTTCTTGGTGAATTTTTAGCACTGATTCCGTTGGTGACTTCTGTTTTCCTTCAGTCACCTGCCAAAAAATCGGGGGAAAATAGGAAGGTCATATTTGAATTTATCAGTCAAAAATATTACGGAAAACATACATAGGCATTGGGTGTGCGGTATGCTTGGGCATCTTCCCTCCAGTTTCTGATGACAGGCCTTCCCCATGAAATGATTCACTCACATCATGAGTGGGGGTAGCCACATCCGGGCAAGACACCTATCCTCCAACAATTGGCAACACAGCACAGCCCGGCCGTGGCACCGACACCACATCTACACGTACTTGGCTTATTTGGGTACTAATCTGACTGTGAGCAGTCAATTTTTATGTGCCTGAAAAGACGGGAAAAGAATTTTTCCAATGGTCTCATGTGACTGACACCACCTATTTTTGGACGCTAAAGCCAAAGTAGAAGAGGGTCTTTGTTTTATTTCACAAAAACCTGCCGTTTTATATTTCTGTTTTTGAAAAATTGCAATTTAAAAAAAAAGAGGTTTTTTCCAGCTGGAAAAGCACTGCCTCTAAAGAAAAAGCTTGTTAAAAGCAGGTATAAAACTATGATCATTGATAGCTTCAGCAGTGAGAATGTAGGAGGGAGTAACTTCATAGACACCCGGGAAAAAATTTTCCCTGTTCTTTAAAATTCTTATAAACTAATCAGTTTTACATGGTGGTACATGAGCAGGTCCCCTTGGACGAGGAAACCTCAGAAATAGCAGGGAAAAATCTCAGTATTGTCATACTCATATATGTTATTATCTTAAACACACTCATGCACCGATTTTCCAGAAAATCAAATTTTTCCCAAAGGCATAAGATTTTCAAAATAAAATATTATTCTTTTTCCGAGTATGGTAATGAAAAATACATCTCGATAATGCGAATTTAACTAATTACTACTGGTTAATTTAAAATAGAGTAACTATAAGGAGATTGTGCTATGCTGCTCCACTGATCAAAAAACATGTGTTTCTGTATGCTGCGTGGAAACTCTTAACACGGCCACCTACTTGAAATCTGAAAATTTCAAAACTTAAGGGACACCCTACAACACTTCTTGGTGTCTCGGTAGATTTGGCCTTGGGCTTGAGGTAATTGCGAAAATGCTGCTAACTTTGAGACTTACATAATTCTTCTAAATACCCTGAAAGGCATGTTCTTGAACAAAAATTTCGAGTAAATTCAAGTAAATGTCTTTTACTTTTCAGAATTTAACTATTTTTAAGAACAGGAAAGGGCTCAAATTATTTTCAAATACCCTTAAAAACCATTAACTCACCTTTTTTAAATCTTCTTTGGCTATTTTTCAGGTGAAATATTCCAAAAATTATCCAGGAAAAAAAATAAAAATGCTGCATGATGTAATATTCAAAACACTGAAATCAAGTTACATGCCATCATCAGCAATAGTGTTCCTTTAAGCTTTTCAAATTCCCCCAAGTCAAAAAATACAGATTTCATTTCTAGCATCCTGATTCTCATAAAATCTTAAAACTGAGTTAGATCAGAACTTTAATTAATGAGCAGTTTTAAGAGAGAATGAGATTAATAAAAAGCGAAGGCAAGGAGATGGAATCGATGGAGTTTGTACTTACTTGCCTGCAATGGGGCTTGAATTGAAAGTTGATAGGTACATCAAGGGATCCTTATTTAGTTGAATTCAAAAGCAAGCGGCACTGTGGAAACAGTTTCCATCCAAAGAATCACAACGTACATGTAAGTAACTCTGAAACAGGAACCACAACCATGGTCAGAAATAATGCAAAGGCCCTGGAAAAGGAAACGGACAGTGAGAGAGAAAAAAATAGGAAAAAAAGGAAGTGTACAAAATTTTTCAAACCGACGCGACGTCCAAATGCGATACTTCTGAGCCCTGTGCTGACGTGCTAAGGAAAAATGCCGTGTGAGCCTTCAGACGTTGCCAAGTTTCCTCCGATAAAAACCGAATTTACTGGGAAAATTGCGAATATTATTTTCCAAAATTTTCAGACAATTTTGTACACATTTAATCTTAAAAATCTGAAAATTTCAAGGAGAAATTTGCATGAATGTGGAAATACATGTTTTATCGAGGGCAATTTGGCAACTCTCGAAGGTTCATACGGCGTTCTTCTTTAGCACGGCAGTGTACTGACGTGCTAGGAAAAAACGCTGTATGAGCATTCGGGAGTTGCCAAATTTTCTTAGATAAAGTGCTTAATTTTGCAGGCAGTTATGCATAATTTCCTGTGAAATTTTCGGATGTTTTGGATAAAATTAAGAGCCAAATTTTTGGAAAAATTGGAGTACACAAAAGTATTCAGAATTTCCCCAGAGAATTAATTTATTAGTTAATTACGGAAAATATGGCAACGTCTGAACGATCATATGGCGTCTTTCCTTAGCACTGCAGTGTATTCGATGTCACATAGTGATTTGATGCGCGTGTTCTTAAAGCACATACTCGTAGCGAATAGTGGCGTGGCGTGCTTTGCGACGTATCGCCTGACAGGATGTCATTGACAGGGTGTATGCAACGAACACCTTAATAATCATTCTTTACCATAGCTTCAAATGGGGAAATGTCGATAACACAGCAAAACAAATTTCCGGTTTTAGTTTGTCCTTCGAAATAAACTCATTTTTTTCGATTCCTAGGTGCTAAAGAAGTCCGAAAATGCCCATATTAACTTCAGGGAAATTGGCTGGTGCTCAGGGCGCCGCCATTTTGAATTTTTCAAAATTGAGAAAACCCACGATTAGATTTTTGCAAATATCTCATCAACGGTTCATTTCACGAAAAAAACAAAAGAAAACCAGCAGAAAGGGCATACAATTTCCTACCAAAATCACCCTCATTTGTTTTTTCTAGCTTAATTTTTTGGTCGCAAAATTAACGTTTTCTTCAAAAATTAGCTAAAAGGAGGCGCATTCTTGCTGATTTTAGGAGAAACTTTGCTTCATATTTTCAGCCACAATTATCTGAGGAAAAACTGTTATGCTCATTGAAAAGAACGTAAAATTTACTTCTAGAAAACACATGTCAATATGTTCCTAAACTTGATTTAGGTAATCCTGTGAAACACCAGTTTATTAGCTCCGCCCTTTAATTGTGATTTTGTCGACCATCTCCTTTAACGTTGAGGAAAATAAGAAAAAAACCTAAAAACGTGGCCCAAACTAAGTAACAACGTGGTAAAATAGTGCTGGGCCCACGCTGTTTGGGAGGGGGGGGGGCAAAGATAGAAAGTTCAAAAATTTTCAATCAGAGCCAACAATTTTGAGTTCTAATGAGAATCAGTACAAAACTGATGAGGGAGAGTGTTCAGCTTAGGCAGTTTGCATTGGAATGTTAAGTTGAGGTCACATCGAGAGTTCTATAATTTTGGGTCTTTTTATACCTCATTAGTAAATCACACTGGCTACATTTACTTTTTGATCTCCATAAAACTGCGTAATAATGAAGTAATCATTATGATTGGCTATCGAAAAACTACAGGAATAAACCTAACAGCATGAATTTTCCCAGCCCATCAGCACCACAGGGCAGCCAACCACCGACCAGCGAAAGTGGTGACGACACCGGTGACCCCCAAACCGACCAACCCGACAAATAAGCGTTTCCTTTAAAGTTTGCAGCCCTGAATTGGGAGTGGGGGAAAATTTATGCATGGCCGCTGTACCGATGCCGATCGGCATCACCAAACACATCAGAAAATCATCTACCTACACCTGATTTTAGAAAAAAGAAAACACCGAATTTTGCCATATGGAATCAGCGTACAATAAAGGGTTGTGGACATTTTCGGACTTCTTTAGCACCTAGGAATCGAAAAAAATTGGTTTGGTTCGAGGGACAGAACGCATGTTGAGCGCGGTGTAATCGATCATTCACGCCTCGCGACAGTTATAGACTTCCCTACGCCCTGAACATCATTTTTCAACCTCGGGAATAGAACCTTGAAATGTTGGCATTATTTGCGTTGGTACCTTTTACACCCTTTACGAGAGTAAACTGTCAAATTTTTCAAAAAAACATTGTGTATTTTTACTTCTGGGAGAACATTTTTTAGAGGTAGCGTTTTTTACATTTCGAAGACTTATTAAGAAAGAATGGTCCACAACGTAAGTTTCTCCGTCACTGTTTTTAAGACCATTTCCATCTTGACGAAATCGACAGTGGCTACCGTACCGCCTCGTATGCACGCATCACGGAAACTCGAGAGAACTTCAGATTGACTTTACCAGTTTCCTCAAAGATTAAAGATTTTGCCACCTTTCTTGGAATGTTTTTCAAACTTTCTTTTTAAAAAAAATTAACAGGAAAAAGTACTTAAATAACTAAATAAGTATGAAAAAACTGGGAACGGCCATGAGGAGAAAGGGCCGGATTGGCAAACGGCAACGGTCTTCGAATTTACAGTGTCTACCCCTACTTTAATTTGATTTAAAAAAAAAAAAAAAAAAAAAAAAAAAAAAAAAAAAAGATAAATCCTGTTATTTGACAAATTTTTTATAACCTTACAAAATTTCTTGAAGCCTGAAAGTCACTACACATGAGTAGATTGCAGCCTTGCTAATACATACCTCTTTGGCTATATCTCAGCACGAGAAGTTTGACTGAATGTAGAAATAGAAATGGAGTCTCTTTGAGGCGTAAGGCTGCTGTCTCCATTCTCCATTACTTAAACCTCTAACTATGTGAGCTTGGAAGTTGACTTTAGAGAGAGGAGTTTGAAATTCAACATCCCCACTTGACGTAAATTCCATTCCGAGCTTTCTCGTATTTAATGAAATACTCAAGAACAATGGAGCCTTTGCCAAGAACTAGACACAATCGCAAGATACAATACACTCATCCCAATGGCAATACGTACAAAAACTAATAATACGATGCCAGTTACAAATAATGACGCACTTACAACGAACAAAAACTAGTTCAATAGCTACCCTCAATTATGATGCTGATCGTCGAATGCAATGTCATTTGATGATTGTCGCACTATTGATTTCCGAGCTGAACGAGACCTGAAGGCTGACTGCGCGTAAGGAAGCATCGCGTCTGGATGTTTGGTCGCACTGAGATGAATTGCTCAACACGACGTTCGTGATGGTAGGGCGAAAAATACCCATGAAAATGGGATGGTCATAAAAAGTGAGCCCTCATGCACCCAACGAGGCTTAGCNGGGGGGGGGGGGGGGGGGGGGGGGGGGGAGAGGTTGTCCCTCTCTCAAGGGGCCCCCGGTTGCGCATAAAATCCGTCAAGGTTAAAGAAAAAGGTTTATGAGTTTTGGCTGGTGCCTATGACGATATACACTCAACGAACGGCATTTCATTTGTGTCTCATATTGTACGGCGAAAAAACTTATTTTTAATGACTTATGAGCCCTGGCGTCCGTTGTTGATACGGCCATTGCATGTCTCATTGGTTATTGAACTTCCGTCTTTTTCACATGAAAAATTATTCAGCTAATTTTAATTGCCAAAACTCCATTAGCTGCGCATAACGACGACCGAAACCGGGACTTCCAACTTTTGCGCCTGTCTCAATTCCCTCCATTCGTTCGATCTTCTTCTGGAGAGCGATGACCTGTCTCCTATGGACCAAATCGTCTCTCTACTGACGTAAAGCGTACCTATCTTTATTTCTATGAGCCGCGGAAAGCACAGAGTTATACGCAGCACAGGACTCGCGCGGAAAGTGAGACCTCTTTTATTGGGCCCGTACCGATGACACTCGGAACAACGTAGAAACGGACGGTACAAAACTTTTGAAAATACATATAATTATGTACTAAGCATAGCCGCAAAATTGGTGAATTTTTTCGTTTAAAAACATTTTTTTTTTTTTTTTTTTTTTTTTTTTTTTTTTTTTTTTTTTTTGCTTTTTTCTTCTAAATTCTACAAATCTAATCGAAAAGATTATCTCGCCGTTATTCTTAAATGGTTCTCGATTTATTCTGCCGTTCATTCATTCCTACGATGCATACTAAATTCATCAAGTCCATCGCGCCTTCATTTTTTGCGTATGCAACACTGTCAGGAAAATTGTATAGTGCTCAGGGCGCCGCCATATTTTGAATTTTTCAAAATTGAGAAAACCCACGATTACATTTTTGCGAGTATCTCCTCGACGGTTTATCCCACGGGGGGAAAAAAATCAGCAAAAAGTACATAAAATTTCCTACCGAAATCACCCTCCCTTGTTTTTTCTAGCTTAATATTTTGGTCGTTTTCTTCAAAAATTAGCTAAAACGGCACATTTTTGCTGATTTTAGGAAAAAAATTGCTTCATATCTCCAGCCACAATTATCTGAGAAAAAAAACTGTTATGCTCACTGAAAACTGAGGGAGTGGAGTGTTCAGCGCAGGCAGTTTGCATTGGAATAATGTTGAGTTCACATCGAGAGATCTATAATTTGGGGTCTTTTCACATATATCTCATCAGTACTTAGATCACACTCGTCAGTGAGATCAAAAAGCAAAAAAGTTCAACAATTTTCAATCGGAGATTGTGTCAAAAATGTTGCTCTCTAATGAGTATCAGTAAAAAACTGAGGGGGGAGTCTTCAGCTCAGGCAGTTTGCATTGGAATATTAAGTTGAGTTCACGTCGAGAGACCTATAATTTTGGGTCTTTTTATACCTCATTAGTAGATCACACCCGTCAGTGAATCCAACTGGAAATCTCGCAAAATCCAAGACGGCATCAAAGCACAAGTTCAACGTACTTACAAGTTTTGTACTGCAAGACGGCAAGTTTCGTGCTAATACTCATTAGAGCTCAAAATTTTTGACACAATCTTTGATTGAAAATTGTTGAACTTTTTTGCTTTTTGATCTCACTGACGAGTGTGATCTACTGATGAGGTATAAAAAGACCCCAAATTATAGATCTCTCGACGTGAACTCAGCTGAATATTCCAATGCAAACTGCCTGCGCTGAACACTGAACCCCCTCAGTTTTGTACTGATTCTCATTAGAGCTCACAATTTTTTACTCTGAAAATTTTTGAACTTTTTGGCTTTGAACCTTGTTACGCACAGTTTCAGCCACGTTTTTAGGTTTTTTCTTCTCTTTCTCTTGATTGTACCTAAGGAAGATGGTCGACAAAATCACAATTTAAGGGCGGAGCTAATAAACTGCTGTTTCACAGGATTAAATCGAGTTTGGGAACTACTGACCAATGTTTTCCAGCAGTAAATTTTGCGCTCTTTTCAATGAGCATAACAGTTTTTTTTTTTTTTTTTTTTTTTTTTTTTTCCCCAGATAATTGTGGCTGGAGATATGAAGCAAAGTTTTTCCTAAAATCAGCAAAAATGTGCCTTTTTAGCTACCTAATTTTTGAAGAAAACGTTAATTTTACGACCAAAATATTAAGCTAGAAAAAACAAGGGAGGGTGATTTTGGTAGGAAATGTTATGTTCTTTTTGCTGTTTTTTTTTTTTTTTTTTTTTTTTTTTTTTTTTTTTTTTTTTTTTTTTTTTTTTTTTTTTTNTTTTTTTTTTTTTTTTTTTTTTTTTTTTTTTTTTTTTTTCGTTGGATTAAACGTTCAGGAAATATTGGCAAAAATGTAATCGTGGGTTTTCTCAATTTTGAAAAATTCAAAATGGCGGCGCCCAGAGTACCAGACAATTTTCCTGAGGTTAATATGAGCATTCTCGGAATTCTTTGGCACCTAAGAATCGAAAAAAATTAGTTTATTTCGCAGGACAGAAACCATGTTAAGCCGTAAGCGGTGTCATGAGCTTGTCAAAAATAAAAGTTCAAGTCTCAACTTCTAATTTCCAATTTCTATTTTGTGTATTAATGTTAAAACAATATAGACCTTTACATAATGGGTGTGAGCAATTATTAGGACGAATATTTTCATTGATTTGTTACAACAAGAATAATCATTGATGGTGACAGTATTCGACTAACGAGTTATACTTATAGTGGTGATGTGAACTAATGAATTAGTGCTGGATCAAGTTTTCTCAGTCTTTTCTTCTAGTTTGCAGCCTCAAAGTTGTAGTGTTTTATTGACCAAAATAAAACAAGATACTTCTAGTTTTTGGCTTATTGTTGGTACTTACTTACTTACTTTTTACTTTTTTTTTTTTTTTTTTNTTTTTTTTTTTTTTTTTTGGGGGGGGGGGATCACCTTGGTGTAGCTGTTGCATCTGTATCAGTGCAAAGTACACAATGATATTTAATCTCAAAGAAGTGGTTGAAGGCACCATCATCAATCACAGCAAATTTCAAAATTGATGTCAGAACATTTCAGTTCACATCAGACTGAGGTTTATCACAGTTCTGCGATCCGTCAGACAGATGCTAATTGGTCAAAAGTGATATGTTAAGCTTCCTTCCCAAGTTAGGCAGTAAATAACAGAACATGCGGCAACTCTGATCTGAGGGATCAGTCCTCAAGATAATGATAGAGATTAAACTACTCATAAGTGACAACACACTGACCTCATCAGAAGGTTATTTCTATTTCAATGTACGCACATCAGGTCGTTCACTTTTATCAGGGATGCAAAACGGCAGGAAACTATGCATGGTTTTCTGTCTTGTACTAGACTAGTTACCTGTACCTAATGTTGGTTTCACAATAACTGGAATAGTTTTATTGCCGTAACGGACAACACATTTTTCGGTCTTATTTTTAGTAGAAATGACAATCACTCGAATTTTTTCGCATTAATCATCAAAAGGTTACGTAACATGATGTTTTCTAATGATTTATTGCTCTACTTCTCAATTAATATTATGTAAATTCCGAAAATGTGCTGTCTGTTACGCGATAAAAAGTCAGCGTAACAGACAGCACACTTTCGGTCATTTACTTATATATATTAGAAGTGAAAAGTAGAGCGATAAATCTTTGAAACGCCTTATAAAACGTAACCCTGTCCAGATTAATGCAAAAAAATTCGAGTGATCATCATTACTACTAAGAATATGATTGAAAAATGTATTGTCTGTCAAGGCAACAAAACCATTCCGGTTATCAAACGAGCAAAACCACGGGCAAACGGGCATTCCGGTTCGGGGCAAAAGTAGGTATCTATTGATACATACTAGAACTTGCATATAGATAGGTTGGCAGTTGTATACTTTCTGTTTGCAAGCAGATAATCTGCAGTTATCCATGGGTGATGAAGAATTAACTGAGGGCCAACACCGCTATTGTGGACAGATATTTGCACTAAAGCAGTCTGCAGTCTATCTACAGCGCATGACAGCTAAATGTGACAACTACCACTTACCTACTGAGAGTTCCGACATCTTTCGCAAGTTTTGATATGTACCAAAATGTGGGTCCACAAATGCTAATTTGTTCCATCTTGATGATATTTAGTGATAAGATACAAGACAATGAATGATTGGAGAATCTAACAGGAATGGGTAATGAAAGTGACACAAGGTAGATACGTTAGTAGAGCTCAAATAGAGCACCATCGGACTTAAGAGATGTGAGGAGTGACTAATTCATCAGAAACAATTGATGGTATAGTCTTTTCTTTGTCGATTAGGCCTAGAAACCACTAGTCGCAACCAGAAAACTCAAAGACAATGCTGACCAATGCAGCATGCTACAATGCGTTCATCGTAGTCAAGTAAAGCCTGACACTTGGATAAAACAGCCTTATATCACAACTATTGCTTTAAATTAGGGCCACACAAAAGAATCAGTGAAAAAAAAGACTTACTGCATAACCCAAAGCACTTGGTTCCAACCGTATTTTGCAACCATGCTAAACTGTAGCATAGGTAAATTAGGTATTTTCCTTGGAGTATGAATCTTGCCTTGTGTTTCTTGGATGCAACCTATCCATAATACCGTTGAATTGGTGGTATCGTTTGAATCATTGCGCTTCAGTATAAAGAGGTACTGTTAGAAAGAAATAACTTTCAACTCAGGCACTTACTTGCACCTGATTCCCCGTAGAGGCTGAACTACAGCTCCAGTGACAATCAGTAAGTAGCGTAAATAAAATGTGATTAGAATTTAAAATACATACAGATTCAATCTATACTAATGAAAATTGAGAGTTTCTTGCACGTTGCAGGTGAGGAACCGATTTGGATTCAGCCGCACACAAGATAACGAAGAGAACGAACATAACAATTGACTTTAAATTTTACGTTTATGTCGGATAACTTTGAGGTTAGCGAGAGTATAAACTGGCGGGAAGGTACTGAGATGTTATTGGTTCATGCTCTTGGCGGGCGCGCCAAACGGTAGAAGAAGATTCAATTTATGGCGCGAGTTTTCGAATTTGCGGACTTGAAATATTTGAGCGACAGATTAGACCAGCGTTTTAACTGTTTATTTTGAAGCTAAATCTTGACGAGTGAACGTTATATGGGAAAAAATCTCTTTAAAGACGTGAAGTACGTCTTAACCTGCGCTTTTATTTAATACTTCGTTATTCTATAATTAATTTTTATCATTTATTCTTTAAATGCAACTAATAACATATTGAGAACCTGACTTTTTATCTAATTGAAGTGAAGATTTGAAATTTAAAGGACATTCATATGAGGGAGGGAGCTGAATTTTAGTCTCCCTGAAATTTTCAAGGGGCTCCTTGAAGGGGAGGGGCGACGGACTCCAAATTTGCTTTTTTAAATTAGAAACCCCTCCCCCTTCGTTGTTCTTCGTTCGGAAGAACATACATGGGAGACAATTTCCCGGGCACCTGAATTCATTAGGTAATTTTAATAGTTTTCAAATTGGCGGCCGGCTTAAATAAAAATGGCTGAAAATTGACACGGCGGTTACTTGTCGACGGATTTACCTGAAACTCGGTATTTATGGGTAATCTAGCGAGAAGAACGAATTTGACGATGATTTTTAAAAAGAAAAATCAACGTTTTCCAAACGGACAGTGGTTTAAGTCCAAAATGGCCAAAAATGTATTTTGCTTATTTTTAAATTCCAACGTCAAGCTCATTTCTCTCGTGCCAAAATAATTCCAGTTACTGAGTTCCAGGCAAACCCATCGGCAAAAAACTGAGGTGCCAATTTTCGACCAATTCCAACCGGCCGGTTAAAATTTCATTTTAACCGGCCGCTATTTTAAAACGGCAGGAGATATTAACCTCAGGTTTACGCGAAAAATTGAATTTTTTGTAAGTTCTTTCAACAAATTTGGGGGTCAATAATTTGGAAAAAAGTTTGGTACGTTGCCCTCAAAAAGTATTAGAAGGTCATCGATTGGCTATTTTTCCTAGAAACGCCTTCAAGTTCAAAAATTTTACATCAATTAGGTAGAGGGGAGGGAAGAATTTGCTAAGACCCTGTATATTCTACGCATTCTTTTTGAGCCCAAACATGCCAGTTGACCCTCTCTCTGCTGTTTGGAATCGTGCAACTTGGCAACCTCAAACTCGCATACCTCGATTCGAAATACCTACTTAGCCAAAAACGGACCGTGGCCACTTCTCACACATGAAAGCGCAAAAATATGTTCGTCGATTATGAGGTTTCAAAGTCTTCGCTACTCTTTAATTTTCTTAAAATTAGCAAAATTATGATGACTGTTAATGTTTGAAGTGTATATATATAACGTTTGATCCTTGACACAGTAAAGAAAAATCATGAGGAGTTCGAAGAGTAATTCTATTTAGAAGATGCTGAATACTGTTACCTAATGAAATCTAGCCATCGATAAAATCATTTCATGATGATTGTCCCATTCGAAGAAAAAGTCTAAATAATACATCCCTGCGTCAAAAGCATCATCGATTGCAAATCCACTTTTTTCGTGACTATTATTGAAAGAGAAAGCAAGTAATAGGAAAGAAACAATAAAAAAAAATGAACATCGTTGTTTTTTAAAAGCGATCGAACATTGTTCAAATGAAAAATGAGGAAAATCGGTATACGCAATTCTCCATTTTGCGAGCAACAAGGAAAAATTGTAGGTTCGGCACATTGGAACAAACGTTTGTGTCATGGAGAAAATATGTGTGGAGCTTTAATACGTGATCCAAACCGTAGTTTGCGCCAACGTCCTTTTTTAGGTTGATGTTCTATTCCCCGCACTTTCAACGGAGGCATTTCTTGAATCAGATATGATTCGAGCTTTAATTTTTGAGTTGTACTGGACAAAAATGAGTAAATAGGTGAAAGCCGTTGCGACAAGCTGTAACAAAAGAGAGAGAAAAGAAATAGACAGAGTTCATCTTTTTCTTTTTGAAGTGTATTCTTTCGTTTTGATGAGTGGACAATATTTCAATTTCTCAAACATCCAGAGCGACTGATTCAATCGGTTTCTATGTCCAATATTAACGGGGATACCGCTCATTAAAAAACATCATTCACGCTTCGCCACTCGTTCTATGTCCAATAATAACGGTATACCGCTCATTGAATTGTATGACGTCATCCAGCTCCATAATGCGTACCACCCATGGTCTCTTTCACCTTGGTATCATCAATCGCGGTACACACATTGACACCGGTTGCTAAAACACAGATGAAATCAAGGTGGAAGAAATCACGGTGTGCATTATCGCCATGGATGATTTCATACGCCGTGTTTTCCGACAACATTCGACGTTGAAAGAGCCTGTCAAAATGGGGGTTTTCTGAGCTCCCCCCCCCTCCTTTTTTTTTCTTTTGATAAGCAGTGATTTTGTTTAAATCTGTTCCAAACGAAATCTTACTATAAGACAGCCCCTCGGTGGGTTTATTATTGAAATTAATAGATATAGCGATCGCCAAAAAAGACAGAGTATGGAGCGCTCCTATTGGTTGAAGTGATTGGTTCCTTTAGACTAAGGGAGAAAATGATGAACTAACTATAGGATCTCTCGTTGGGTTGCCATTAGTCAGTTAATTACCTATCTCCTTTGTCCATTGCACCGACCCGTTTCTACCAATACGCGATTTCTCCATACCCCTTTTATATTCTTTGTCTATACCTTTGTTTAACAATTTCAATGATCGGTCCGCAGTGAAAGTTATAGCTTGAGTTCATGGCTCAGTTTGGCAGCAGAGCATTGCAAAGTTTACATTTCTCACTATTTGAAGTTTTAAGAAAAAACGCAATTATGAAAGATTCTTTTCTTTTTTTCTGGGGCACAATGCCATCAAATGATGTTACTCAGAGATTGAAACTGTTGTCGACCCTACGATCTAGCGATCAGTTGTGATAGAACGTTGCTGGGTCCCCTGTCCCAGACAGTGGCGTGAATATAGGATCCGCAATGCGGGCGGGCCCACGGTTCTGAGGGGCCCAGTCACCAGCTGGAATTTTTAAAGTTTTGTTAAAATGTAATCCATTCATTGAGCCGGAGAGGGGGGCAGGAGGGTTAATGAGGGGCCAAGAAATATAGTGTGCGGGCGGGCCAACGCTTATTGTTAGTAAAATGTGCCACTAATCCCAGACCGTTTGAGCTAGCCTTTTTTCTCGGTTATTTTAGGTCAGCTGATGTCTGAGATCGAGGGATTAATTGGACCGCGTTAAACAGAAAGGAACCAAGCCACATCAGCCATTGCCAAATTTAATTGGACAATTAAATTTTTTACATGAAAACGGTTGTGCGGATTTTCGTGCGAATTTCAGTGAAAATTCTCCATGGTACGAAGCAAATTACTTAAAATTTCCAAAGAAATCCGAACAAACGTTCTCTCGTAAAAAATTTAATTTCCCAGTAAAACTTAGCAATAGCTGATGTGGCTTGGTTCCTTTCTGTTAAACTCGGTCCAATTAGAAAGTGGCTCTGAGGGGCGCTGAGAGACTTTTAATCCATGACAATTCGATTCCTAAGGCCCATTCTCTATTCAACCCATCCCGAGCATTATCCAACCTAAAATAACGTAGAAAAAACCTGGCACAGGTGGTCTGGGACACCTTTCAAAAAGATTGCAACGTTGTATCGCGACTGATTGACCGATCGTAGTGTCAACAACAGTCTAAGTCCCTGAGAAACATCAACTGAAGAAATTGAACCCCATATAATAAAGTAAAATTCAAATACAGTTGTTTTTGTAATTGAAGAACTTCAAAGTAGTATAAGCTTTTTTTTCAATTTGTTAAACAACACTCATGTAGAATGATACGGGGCGGGGCACCTTATACTAACATCAGGTTAATACAAACACCGCACTCGATGATGTTGATAACGCCTTGCATTGATACAACTATTCGTACTCTGTGTGACACGCGTGTTGCATACGAAGAAATAGAAGGCGCCTCCAGTCACGCTAGTCCATGAAGCAATGCACGCAGCAGCGTGTTGCTTTCATTAAATCCAAATATCTGACACCATAGTATATCTCCTTAAACGTCGCAAATTTTTATGAAATATTTCAGTTTTTCCATGTCTAACAGAAATATTTGCGAAACATTTTATTGATTTCAAAGATATTTTAAAAACATCTTTCAAGAATAATTGTGTTATCAGATTATGGTTTCCATTGTTTTAATAGCCAGTTTTAAAATTATTTTTCAATATCAATACTTACGCCTTCAATAAACGAAAGGTTTATTTCCAGAAAATTGCAAGCAACAATTTTAATTTTCCTTTCTTTCAACTGATCCAGAAGCTGAACTACCTGCGGTGAGCAAAATACATTTTTGTAAATGAGTATTCAGGTTCACATAAGTAGGGTCATTAAGTTAGTACAAATTATGAAAATGTCGTTTCAGTCGAGTTCAAAGTCCAGCTCCATCACTAAACATAATTGTTCTCACGACCTGCCTAAAGGGGGAGGAGATCTTGACAAAACTGTTAACAAACAAACAAACAAACAAACGTAAAACTCAATGGAAATCAAAAATTTCCCTTGGAAATTTAATTACTTGAAAAGTGAATCTCATGATACTCCCGTTTATTCTAGTTAAAAAAAAAATTGAATCTGACATCGATACACTATACTGAGAAGAAAATGCGGGGG